AGATTTTCATTTTGGAGGGTGATTCCCGTTGCTACGCGGAGAACAAATGAGAGCCAAAGTAGAGGGCGCAGCTAGGATTAGACAGCGAGGGCGGGAGCAGAGTGCAGGGATTCGGGGCTTATTGAGGAGACGAAGAACCGGGTTTGGAGATGCTTTGGTTGTAAGAAGGAGTCAGCACTGTTGGGGTCCTAGATTTTTTTTTTCTTCAATGGGCTAGGAGACACTGGAAAAGGGCTCACACGAGGAGACAGTGAATTTTGAGGTGTCCTGTGATGTACAAGCTGAACCACGGCTGTCCCAGAAATAACTGTAATTCCATGTGACTTCTATGGTAGAGGAAGTGCGGGATCCTGTGGGAGCACCAAGAATTGGTAACTGATAGGGACCAGGGGGCTCCCTAGAGGAGGTGCTGCTCAGAAGGTAAAGATGCTTAATAGGTTATTGCAGAGCTTGCTTTGGGTTTTCCGAAGTTTTGAGAGTGACTTTCTGACCTGGTCGGGAAGACTTTAGAGATGTGCCAGGATCTGAAGCGTGAGAAAAATTCAGACCCAGGATGGCTAGGGTGGGCCTATTAGGAGAACTAACGACCCCAGGGAATGGCAGAGGGAGAGAGTGATCAGACTGACAGTCGGGAAGGTTTCAGTTAGGGACACTTGGAGAAGTCTCTAGGAAGAGAGATGAGGGACGTGTGGAAGGCTGTGGCTCCACGCAGTGGAGTTCTCTTCATGTTTTCAAGGAAAGAACATTGTTGGCTTTTTGTAGGATGGATAGGAAGAAGATCCGGCATTAGAAGAAATGTAAGGGTGTTCTCTACTTTGTATCCATATCACAGGACTCTCAGTGGCTCAGCCTTACAGCTGTCCTCCATTCTTCCTTCTCCCCCATTTCCCATGCTACTTCACTTCAGATTGTGTTTCGGTCCTCAGAATTCTAAATTTCCCATCTGTTTCTCTCTTCCCCATCTTCATTTGACATTGCCCTTTACACTGATAGTTTTCTCCAGACCATCTTTCACTCTGTTACTGAAAGGATCTTTCTAAAACAGATATGCTTATGTCTCTACCCAGCTTGAAAATGTTCGGTGATGTGGACAGTAAAAACACACCAGAAAGAGATAATGGCAAAACAATAAGAAATATATTTCAAGATACGTTAAGACATTCATAAAATACGAGAAGTGGGAAAACCATGTAAATCAGAATTATAAAAATTCAGAAATGATATGATAGGACAAGTTAGTTCACAACTTAGGGCCAGTCTGCCTTACGAACCTTAAGCTCTTGCCACTTTCTACCTCCCTGCCCCATAGCACTTTACACATACCTCCTATTGTAGTCTCCCCCCTTTATTCATTCCTCACCCAAGGATACATTTCTATAGATATTTAGAGAGAGATAGAAATATCAATGTGAGAGATAAACATCAAACGGTTGCCTTCTGCACACATCCCGACCCAGGATTGAACCCCCAACCTGGGTATGTGCCCTGACTGGGAATCGAACCTGCTACCTTTTGGTGTATTTGATGATGCTCCAACCAACTGAGTCACACCAGCCAGGGCTGTTGAAGCCCTTTTTATACAGGCTGAGACAAATGTAGGTTTACAGTTGTGAGTACGTGAAACACAGTTTATTTTTGTATTGTTATTTATTAATTATTGTAGTTTTCATACAGACAACTGTAAGCCTACTTTTGATCCACCCTGTATACATTTATGACTACGACAGTATCGTCCCTTCCCTGATTGTAAACTCTGAGGTTTGAACTGTCTTACCCCTCTTTGTACTCCTAATACATTCTTAGCATAGGACTTGGTCTATTGCATTTAGCATATTATAGGTGTTCAGTATGTATTTATTGAATGGACGATTGAAGCTCTGGACTAAGACAATGACAATGGAAATAAAAAGGACAGGATGGATGTGCAAGATGTTTTGAAAAAGGGATTGATGTCACTTGGGGATTGGAGGGTAGATTTTTGATTCTTAGTGACCAGGTTGGTGAATGACCGATCCACAATATTTGGGAAGTGAGGAGAAGCTGGTTCAGTTTTGGAGGAAAAGATGAGGTAAACGTTAGGTAGGGTGAGCTGAAGGTGTTGGTGAGACGGGTGAAGTTGCCCCTGGTCAGTAATATTTCACATGCACTGAACCTGTCAGGTAGCCTCAGGAAGACGTGATCACATGTCTGCGTGATCCAGGAAGACCTGGCAGACCTGTTCATGTTTCCTGAATTGCCTTAATGTTTATCTCTTGTTTGCAGCTTGGCTTGTGGAGATGTTGAAGGAAAGTTTGATGTTTTATTCAATAGAGTTCGAGCAATTCAGAAGAAAAGTGGAAACTTTGACGTAAGATGTTTCCTTTTTCTGATTTAATTTTACTGTCAACATACAAAAATAAAGTTTGGGCTCCTTTATTCATTTCTTGATTTAACACATGCTCCTTTTTTTGTTTGTTAGATTGGGTACCTTTTGTGAGCATAGGAACTTAGTAGCTGCAGAGCAGTGGGGGAAGGAGACCTGTTTACCTTTTTATACTTTTAAAATTTCAATCTCGTTACTTTATTAATGTACACAAATGTGAAAACAGACTAGCAGAACATCCCTAAATAATTCTTTTTTCCTTTTTATTGAATTTATTAACAGAATTATACAGGTTTCAGGTATACAATTCCACAACACATCATCTGTGCACTGTATTGTGTGTTCACCACCCCAAGTGAGGTCTCCATCCATCTCCATTTACCCCCCCTATACATTCCTCCCCCGCACCTAAGTAATTCTGACCACTGGGTTGGGAAGCACAGATGTATTTCATGAGTATATGGTGTAGATTAAGTCAGATAACATGAGCAAGTGCTTCACACACCAAGAGCCTTAAATGTTATGTGTGGTTGCCAACTAGACTGTAAACTCCTAGAGTACAGGAGAGTATTCTAGGTTTGGGGATTATATGCTGATTGGGTTAAAGGCCGAGTAAAGACAACAGGCAGCACATGTGTTTTTTATGCCCTGTATTTCTCAAGGTATCTAATATTTATTTATTTATTTATTTATTTAAAAATATATTTTATTGATTTTTTACAGAGAGGAAGGGAGAGGGATAGAGAGTTAGAAATATCGATGAGAGAGAAACATCGACCAGCTGCCTCCTGCACACCTCCTACTGGGGATGTGCCCGCAACCAAGGTACATGCCCTTGACCAGCATCGAACCTGGGACCCTTCAGTCCGCAGGCCGGCGCTCTATCCACTGAGCCAAACCGGTTAGGGCAGTATCTAATATTTAAAGTTTTACTTTTCACAGAGGATTCTTCAAGGTTGATTTCTCCATCTTTCTCTGGACCCCCTCTTCCCCATTCCCAACTTGAATTTGACAGTAAGACAAAATGTAGTAATTTATACAACTGTTACTAAACAATTATGTATTGAAATTCTGCAAGTTGATTAAGGAAAAAAACCTGGTTTGAGACCATTACTTAGGATAATTAGCTGAGTAATGTTACTATCAATTATGTGCCATTTGATATAAAAAAACTCATATCTGTTTAAAAAACTCATTTTAGCTGCTGTTGTGTGTAGGAAATTTCTTTGGCTCCACTCCAGATGCTGAATGGGAGGAGTATAAAACTGGCACCAAAAAAGGTATAGAAATTCTTTTTATTTATCAAATGATTTCTAACAAACTTTTAAGACTATACAGTCTCTTTTGGGTTGTTTTCACAAATGTTAGTTATTTAAGAATTTCCCTTTGAGCTCTGCATTGAGCTGATTCACATTTTGAATTTGGTTGGAATTAGTTCCAGAAAAATCATTCTTTTCAAGTAGGCAAGAATTGAATAAATGAAATCATATGTGTTCTTTCCTTTTTCCAGTATCAGTATGTGTGTTTTTTAAGCTTTTTAGGGACTATTTTTTCCCAATTATACATTGACCATCCTCTTTAAGATTTCACTTCATCATCCTAGTGATACCATTTAATAATCAGGCCTCAAGGTTGGGTGTAGGATATGCTAACTGGTGATCATATTCCACATGTAGGATTGCAGACTCTTTACTTTTGCTATGATTATTTTTCCTGTGTGGAAGCATTGCTCAAGTTCCAGAGCAGACCTGGTAACTCTGCCGTGACATGTCTGTTTCTCTCACTAGCTCCTATTCAGACATATGTGCTAGGTGCCAATAACCAGGAAGCAGTAAAATATTTCCAAGATGCTGATGGCTGTGAATTAGCTGAGAACATTACTTATCTGGGTAAGTTGATATTTTTTGTGTTTGTAGTGAACATAATAAAGTCTCCTAGGAAATTTGTGGCTAGATTCTTGTGCTATTACTGCCTGACAGAATGGGGGTCAGGGGTGTTCTTTCCCAAATTCTTTGTCTATACCCTTAAGACTAAGACTATAATAATTACAGGAATGTTGGGAGAGGTAAGGGTATTATCTAGTTCAGACCTTTGTGGTTTGTTCCACCTCCCTCAAATCTTGTGTTCCCACAAGATTTGTACTCTTTCAGCCAAACAGAGGAATAAATTACTTGACTATGTATATAGAGAGTAAAGTATAAATTATGTTTAAAATAATCCATGTATGTGGTCTCACCATATAACATACAGCTTACTTCATAGATTTCTTATAGCTATAGCTCTAGGTCTCACTGAGCTTTTTGAAACTGAAGCTTTTAGTGCCGATCCTTGGGTTTTTCACTTCCTTTGTCCTTTTTCTGGTTCCAGGTCCACTCTTAAAGTTGTTTCCTCCCTACCCCCCTGCATCTCATTTAGTGGCTTTTCAGTGTCTGGCTATTTTGTTTTCTCTTCACTTGTTGTAAGTCCACAGCCTCTTGGATCATTCAGCTCATTTTTCCCTCTAAAATAGCTCCACTGCTCTTCAGATTTCCTCTTTCTTGGTCTCTCATTTCTCTTCTACATTTTCTTCGTTGTAAATGCCCTTCTCCCTCCCCACCATAATCCATTTGGCCTTTATTTGATTCCCTACATCTAACTATGACCGTCTTGTAAGCAAGCTCATCTTGTTTCAATCATGAGATTCTTTTAGGCAGAAAATTGAGGGACAGATTTTTATTTGTTGTTTTTAACCACCATGTGAGAAATACATTTTGAGATCCTTTTGTTGTAGCTCTTACTTTGGGCCTGACTTATGGCAATTCTCACTGTAGCTATTAGATTTGGATTAAGACCACTGCTGTAGATATTTATGACAGCCATTTTACCATATGAAGTTAGTGCCAAGAGTGGAAAGAACAGCTGAGGAATTTAGGTTATTTCTGTGAAAGAGAATTTTTGAGATCCAGTAGGAGGAGCAAACAATGAACTTAATAGTGAACACGTGATACTGAGCTTGAAGTGCTGGCAGAACATCCAACTTATAGTGGGATGTAATCTTTCCAGAGTTTATAAATGAGGTCAGTGTTGGAGAGTATAGGTTTTGGGGAGCTGGTCCCACAAAGATGAGAAATAAAGCTGAGAAGAGGATCAAATTGTTAAGAAATATGAGAAGGGAAGCAGGCCGATGATAGTTTCTTGTGGTCATATATCTTCACTTAGAAGGCAGGCAGACAGAGGTGAAAGTAATTACAGGTGTGTTGGGAGAGGTAAAGATAGTATCTTTCATAAAGTGAAGAGAGAATAGTTTCAGGAGTAGAGACGATTGGTGATTAGTGACCTTTAAGAGAATGGTGGGAGAGGGGAACTAGATTGCAGTCGGTTAAGCAGCTAATTAAGAGGTAAAGCACTTAGGACGGACTATTCTTTTGAAAAATGTGAAAATGAAGAGGAAAAGGTTTCTTTATCAGTTAGTGTGTTTATTAATTAGTATGTGCCTTTATAAGTATGTATATTCATTAGTATGTTTAATATTCTATTTCCTAAATGGAAAGAGCCATTTGAGAAGAAGAGACTTAGTAGATGAAAGGAAGGTGAAAACTGATGGAGCAAGGTCTTGAAGGCACAACCAAGGAATAAATTTAGAAGAGTTGCCAATTTTTCCCAAATAGCTACTCTTTTGAAACGTTTTCCTTCAATTGGCAGCTGCTGCCTGCATGAAGAGTACATCTATTCTAGACTATACCTTCCTCAGAACTGCAGATATCTTTTTCTTTTCATCACCTCTCATTATGTCCAGGTGTCTGGCTCTCTTTTAATCTATGCAGAGTCTCCTCTAGAAGGCAGGAAGCCTTTTGCTTCCCACCTTTTTTCATTAGCACCTGGGTAAACAGACTGACCAGTGGGCTTCAGCAGCTGCTCTTACTGAACAGGAGTACCTTGTAGCCATCCGACACTGAGACCCAGCAGCCAGAAGGGCCTCTGGGGCTTTACAGTAGACATGGAAGGCAGGGAGGTAGCAGAATCGTGGCGTGGGGAGAGATTTATCCCTATGATGACATTTCATTTTGCAGTTTTGACTAAAACTTGTCCATTTTTCTTTGAACCCAGGGCGGAAAGGTGTCTTCACTGGAACCTCGGGGCTGCAGATTGTGTACCTCAGTGGGACAGAGTCCTTGAATGAGCCAGTCCCAGGTTACAGTTTTAGTCCCAAGGATGTCTCTTCCCTGAGAACAATGCTGTGTTCGACCCCTCAGTTTAAGGGTGTTGATATCCTGCTCACATCCCCATGGCCCAAGTATGTGGGGAACTTTGGGAATTCTTCTGTGAGTAGTGCTTGTTCAGTTGGAATTTCTAAAAGCAAATGGCTTAATTTGGGCTTTTTCTGCTCTTTATATTAAGTGTTTTAATTCTTAATATAACTCTTAATTTTTTTGTGAATTTTTTCAGGATACTTAAAGCTATATTAATTGACCAAAGCAAAAGTCGATCTTATGAAAGTTTGATTCACAGTTGAGATTGCTGAAATCTTAATTATAAATGAATGGTTCTTTAAATTATATTCTCTGTTTCAGGTGCCCTCTTTCAAGCTTCCTCTTAATATGTTTTGAGGGTTCACTAATTTTCAGTGAAAAGATTTATAACAAGTGGCAGCTCAATAGTTGTATTTTCTTCCCTTCCATTCCAGGTTATAGCTTTTTGGCTATCAAAATATTTTTTTTTAGATGGAATCATTATGGGATCAAAGGTAGTGATCTAAAGACCTAAAGTTAGGAAAAGATGTTGAAAACTTGGTACTTATCTCAAGTGAAAGCTTTTTAAAAATGTTATTTTATTTTATGTGAAAGCTTTAATGTTGGGATGCACTGGAGCTCACCATAGCATTTTTGTAAGCAATCTAAAAGAGTGTGTACATCAGGTTGGTGAATGACAGCTACCGGGAAATATTATATTGGTGGAAATCAGCCTAAGGAAGACCTGGAAGGTTGTGTGTGAGGACAGAAATCATCAGCTGAGCTTCAGTGAAGGGAAATGATCCAGAAAAGGGTCTTGTAGAGCACTCTCTGCCGCTTTAGCACAATGTGTCTGACCAAAAAGGCCAACAAGATACCAGGCATTGTCAGCAAGGATGCTGAAAGGCAAAAGGACAATGCTCTCTTCCCCTTCCACAAATCCAGGGTTATTCTTCACCTGGAATTCAAGGGGCAGTGCTGATTGCAGTATAGAGAAGATACAGCGAAGCTAGGGAGGACCCAGAGGACTATTAAGCTGATGATAGAAGGGAGAAAGACACGTGTTATGTTCTGTAAGGAAGGAGAAGAAAGAGGCTCCTTCATTTTTGGGGTGCTAAAAAAGATTTTGATTCAAGTTTATAAATAACCATACAAGATACTTATAGGGAACCAGTCTCTAAGATACCACAACTAACCTCAAGGCCAATTCCCTTCAGTAGAAACCTGAAGGACCCAAACATAAAACAAAAAGGAGTTCTTGCTTTACTTAGTGGAAAATTAACTTTGGTAATTGATTTCCAGCTAATATCTTTACATTATGGATGAGAGATCACATAATTTGTTGTTAATTGAAGCTAGGGATTTTCTGGGAACGACCCTAACTTTTGGCAGACTTTATAACAATGGCATGATGTGCTCGTCCACAAACTACACCTTCCTTAACTGAAGCAAAATAAAGGATTGCATGCTTATATGATGAAGTCCTTGAATATTTCCTCCCAAGTATTCTGTAGGTTCTAGGGACTCTGAAAGCTAGCTTTAGTTCTATTTTGTGCATTGACTATCTGCATTGTCATAACTATAGGTGCACAATAAAGCAAATTATAGAAGTATAGTGGGCTTCAGACAGAGAGCTTACGTTCCAAGAAAGATTTTTTGTTTTTAATCCTCTCTTGAGGATATTTTTCCATTGACTTTTAGAGAGAGTGGAGGGGAGAAATGAGGGGGAGAGAGAGAAACAAACATTGATTGGTTGCCACCCGCACACCCTGACCCAGGCCAGGGATCGAGCCTACCACCAAGATATGTGCCCTTGACTAGAAATTGAACCCTGACCGTTCAGTCTATGGGCTGATGCTCTACCCACTGAACCACATTGGCCAGGGCCCCAAAAATATTTTAAGAGGTTTAATAACCCTGTTTTGGGTATTAGCATGGAGAACTTGCTTTTTAACCTCTGGCTCCCAACAGTTGTTTCTATTTCTGCATTCATAGTAACCCAGTTCCATTTTTATGTTTGAGATTTCTTTGACTTCCATAGCATAGAATTTACTATGCAAATTCTACTGCCCACATTTGTATCCACATACAAATTTCAAAGTGTCTTGTTATTTCTTTGCATTTCTTGGTTACTCTTAGGTCTGTTAAGATGACTGAGTTTCTGTTTACTAGGGAGAAGTGGATACCAAAAAATGTGGCTCTGCTTTGGTCTCCAGTCTTGCCACAGGCTTGAAACCAAGATATCATTTTGCTGCTCTGGAAAAGACCTATTACGAGAGGCTTCCATATCGGTGAGTAGCATTTCATTCTTTTTGACTTTTTGAAGAATTTACCTTGGATCTTTTGTGTTAACTTCTCATGTTCATTTCAGCCTTATTACATCTTGGGGTTTTTTAGTTACTTGGGCACTGAATGAGTGACTCTCAAAGTATTCAACTTTTCTGAGTTTGTTTCCTAATAAGGGATTGCACTTTATAGAGCCCTTTAAAGGTCTGAGGGTCTGAAGTAACAATGCTGTGTAATCATCATAGCTTGATGTAACAGTAATTCCTATTTCGATCAGGTCAAACCGTACTCTTTGTATAATCTTAATCTTAGTATAATCACTTTAGAAGTATTTCAATTTGAGAATCAAGAACTTGCTTCAATTTATTTATGCTTTTAGTTTGAGTTTAAAGGTGGAATTTTTTAAGGATGTATTGCAGAGAAAATAAGCCCATTGATTTATAAGTCCTAGAGCTAAGTAAAGTTAACTCTGAATCATCTTCACTGTATAAGGCATGGGTAATCCCTAAAATAATTTATTAAAATAATTTTTTACACAAAAGTAATATATATGTTGTTGAAAGTTCAAAAAATAGAGCTGAGTGAAAAGAAGAAAATAACCTGCCTTTTCCCCAGATTGTGGTGATGGTTGCATAGCTCTGTGAATATACTAAAAATTATTAAATTGTATACTTTAAATAATATAATATTTGAATTAAATCTTAATAAAACTAATTTTTTTAACCAGAGCTGTAACAAAAACCCATATAATTATCATAATACAAATACTAATATAGCTAAATCTCCACTAACATTTGCACCTAGAATTATGTCAGTCCATGCTTTGCATCCCTGTCTTGTGAGTCTTATGCTTCCTCCTTTGAGGAGCTATTATGATTAAAAACACCATTCGGGGGTAGCATTCTGCATCAATCATTTTTTATTTTTTAATATATTTTTATTTATTTCAGAGAGGAAGGGAAAGGGAGAGAGATAGAAACATCAGTGATGTAAGAGAATCACTGATTGGCTGCCTCCTGCACTCCCTCTACTGGGGACCGAGCCTGCATCTCAGGCATGTGCCCTGACCAGGAATCGAACATGTGACCTTCCGGTTCCTAGGTTGACACTCAACCACTGAGTCATGCTGGCTGGGCTGCATCAATCATTTTTGTTTTAAAGTAATGAGGGAAACATCTTCCCAACTTTGTTATGTGTACTTGCAGTTTGCCTGTGGTATTAGTTTTCTATTGCTACTATAACAAATTACCACAAACTTTATAGCTTAAAACAATACAAATTATTATCATACAGTTTATAGGTCAGAAGTTTGACACAGGTCTCTTTGGGCTAAAATCAAGTGTTGACCAAGCTGTATTCGTTTCTAGAGGCCCTAGTGGGCAGTCTGTTTCCTTGCCTTTTTCAGCTTCTAGAGGCCACCTACCTACACTCCTTGGTTCATGGCCCCTTTGATCCATCTTAAAGCCAGCCACTCTGGTTGAATCCTTCTTACTACTCTTACCTGGTTCAGTAGCCACTTCCCTCTGACTCTATATTGCTTCCCTCTTCTGTTAAGGACCATTGTGGTTATGTTGAGTCTACCCAGCTTATCCATAATCATCTTCCTATGTTAAGGCCAGTTGATTAGCAAGTTATTAAATCTGTCATCTTAATTTCCCTTTGCTGTGTAAGCTAACATTCACAGGTTATTGGATTAGGACATTGACATCTTTGGGGGCCATTATTTTGCGAACTACACCTGGATAGCTTAACAGTGGAAAGTATTAGCAGTTTTGAGCTCACTGCACTACTTCCACTAAAAAAAATACATTTCTCAGGATATTTCTTAATGTCTTCATGTATTTTTAAAGCTTCCACTTAATTATGAGTAAACTTGTTATAATCATTTAAAATAGTTGGAGAAAGTTGTATATGAAATAGCATGACTTTCACCTTAATCTGACATCATTCCCATTTATCAATTATGAATGGATTTATTAAAAAAAAAGTTGTAGCAGACAGACTATATTTTGGTTCATTTCTTTCAATAATGTGAATATGACACGTATTTATGGATTTATTTATATAAAACTAGAGGCCCAGTGCACAAAATTCGTGCATGGGTAGGGTTCCTAGGCCTGGCCGGCAATCAGGGCTGACCTGTGGGGCAACTGGTGGGGCAATCGGGGGGCCCTGCTTGCACCTGCCTTGGCTGGCCTGGCAGGCGGCGCTGGCCCTGCCCCCCACCGCCACCGCCAGTTGGGGCCTGCGGGCTGGGGGCAGCTCCTGGGCTGAGCATCTGCCCCCTGGTGGTCAATGCACACCATAGCGACCGGTCATTCTGCCGTTAGGTCGATTTGCATATTAGGGTTTTATATAGATAGATGATATAATAGATTTTTAAAAAATATACATTTTTATTGATTTCAGAGAGGAAGGGAGAGGGAGAGAGAGAGAGAAACATCAATGATGAGAGAGAATCATTGATCGGCTGCCTCCTGCACATCTGGGGACTGAGCCTGCAACCCGGGCATGTGCTCTTGAACGGAATCGAACCCGGGACCCTTCAGTCCGCAGGCGAACGCTCTGTCCACTGAGCCAAACCAGCTAGGGCTGCTATACTAGATTTTTAAAATAAAATTACATTTTTTGACAGATTCAGAAAATTTCTGAGGCATGAGGAAAGTAAAGAACTCTAAGGATTGGCATCTGTATTAATGGTCAACTAACTCACTAAAAAATAAAAAATATGTATAATGCCGTAACTTTTTAAAAAATTAAAAATAGTAAATTGCTCAGTGCAAATGCTTATAAACATAGAAAAGCTAAAAAAAATTTTGGTATATGCAATTCCCATATTTTTTCTATGAAAAATAAACATTCATGTGTTTTTATATTTTTTCTAGGAAAATTAAATGATCCTATATATTACTATTTGAAGCATGTTTTTTTCCACTTAAAACTCATTTCCTTTTCATTTTCATTATTAGCTTTTTATTACACTAGAGAGAATAGTTTAATGAACCCTCCTGTACCCATCACCTAGCTTTATCAATTATCAACATTTTTCTAATTTGACAACTCTTTTAAAACCAAAAGTTGCAGTTTTATGCTTTTTAGATTTGTGATGTTATTCTTCCCCAACAACAGCCCTGGGAGGTAGGGGTGATTATCCTATTAGATGGACAGGTAACATGTGAGGTTATGTTATTGGTGGTGATGAACTTAGGACTCTTTTCATGGCTCCATGGAGTCTACATATTTTAAGTTTTTTGGTAACCTGTCATCTCTCTAATATATTATAGAAACCACATTGTTCTACAGGAAAATGCACAGCATGCCACCAGGTTCATAGCACTGGCAAATGTTGGAAATCCAGAAAAGAAAAAGGTAAAGATTTTCGTATTTATGGGTAGGTTAATAATCATTGTCTACCTGATAAATGTTTCTCTTTCCCTGTCTAGCATTCATGTCTTCTCTCCTCCCCAATCGCACTGTCCCAGCACCTCAGTAACTATAATATGCCATATACCGTGTACATGCAAAAGATAAGCGAATATATATTTTGTCTTTTCCATAATATCTTAAGCTTTTAAGCCCAGTGCATTCTTACCAAGTTTAGATAGCTAAAATTTTTTGCTGCCTTATAAAGCCTGAGTATCACTCATAGTATTTTCAGTCTATTGTTTTACTCTTAGGGATGTGTTAGCCTCAGCCCTAAGCAACTCATACTTCAGTCAAAAAATATGCACATTTTTTAAATTTGGGAGGCATTATTAAATTCATCTCAAAATTTTGTTCCCATTTACACCCCCACCAGCAGTGTATAACTTTGTTTTCTGTCCACATTCTCACTGGGTAGTGCCTAATTTTTATTAGTTTCTGCCATTCTGATAGATGAAGATGGTGTATCATTGTTAATTAGTTAGATTTCTGTGATCAGTAGTGAGGTTAGGCATCTATTCATATCTCATCTAAAGTTCTCAATAACTGAGCAATTAGTCTGAAATTCTAGGTATCCATATGAATATTTACCTTTTTGCTACTAAGAAAATGTATCAGCATATATAATGCAGAAATTGTGTAATGTCAGAGCGAACACTAAGTTGTCCAATTTAGTTTTCATTAGAAAAAAGAATGGCAGTGCCATGGTTCTGTTGACGAAGTACACAAAGATACAGGTCTTAGAGACAGAAGCAATATGTCTTCGAAGTTTATGGAGCAAATCCTTCTGGGCTTTGTAGTGATGGTTGTTTTGTGTAAGGGCGGGGACTTTGACTTGTTGCTCATTACTTGTCAGCCCTTGGTTAGCCCCTGCAGAGACCACTGAATTGGCATTTTTTTAAAAAAAATATATATTTTATTGATTTTTTACAGAGAGGAAGGGAGACGGATAGAGAGTTAGAAACATTGATGAGAGAGAAACATCGATCAGCTGCCTCCTGCACACTCCCTACTGGGTATGTGCCTGCAACCAAGGTACATGCCCTTGACCGGAATCAAACCTGGGACCCTTGATTCCACAGGCTGACGCTCTATCCACTGAGCCAAACCGGTTAGGGCTGAATTGGCATTTGATTTACTAAGTATTCTCTGAGCCACAGATGGATCAATTGCTGCTTTTCGAATTTTACTTAGTTTCAGAAGCCTCTGTGAAATCTTCACAATAAAATAGATTGACTACATTTGGATAAACAGTATTTCCCTTAATGTTGTTATGTTGTTTTTCTCCAAAGTATCTTTATGCATTCAGCATCGTTCCCATGAAACTGATGGATGCAGCAGAACTGGTAAAACAGCCTCCAGATGTCACTGAAAACCCTTACAGGAAATGTGGGAAGGAAGCATCCGTAGGAAAGCAAATTCCTGCCCCTGAGGTATGTTCTGATTGAGAGGTGGCATTTTCTGGGCAGGATTTCCCCTTACTTGTGTTATAGTTTAATTTATAAGATAAGTTTAATCCTTAGAGTTGAAATTTTCATTTCCTGTTGGGAAAACATGGTGGTGTTTAGAAAGCTTTAGCTTTTAAGTAAGCTCGGTGTTGTTGTTGTCTTAATTGTAGTTTGAGCTTAACTTTTCAGAGCTTAACTTTTTTTTTTTAATCTAGTTGATTACCTATTCTTAACTTTTCAGGCAAGGATCCAACCACTGCTTGGTAGCAAAGTAATTCGTGATTTTATGAGTGCTAGTAGGTAAATAAGATTGACTCTGAAGAAATTTCTAAATAGCAAACTCTCCTGAAATTAATTTCCCCTCACTACAGCAAGGAATATCAAATGAGGAAAATTAGTATGCTTTCTCAGACATTTTTTCTTTATGCAGCCTTCTTATCTTTTTAATTAAATCTCAATTAGAGTTCTTTGACCTGGGGAGTGTAGGACTGCATTGAGAGAGAAAGGGAAAGGAATTTGGATGAGTTCATATTGTTGTTTTAGGCAAGAATTGCTCTATAACTTGGACTTTAACTTGCCTTTCCAAAGCGATTTGGTGGCAGCTGGGATAAATGCTGAGAAATATGACTGAGTCCAGACACTTCTCTAGAATAGGCAGAAAGGGCTGGGAGAAAAGATAGACATTACATGGCAGGAATGTTCCTTTGTATGTGAACGGTTGGCACTTGTCTAGAGGTTAAATAACATATACTTTTCTACCTTTGGCCATTCCAGGAAGAGTCAGCCTGTCAGTTTTTCTTTGATTTAAATGAAAGACAGGGAAGGAAGCGTTCATCTACAGGCAGAGATAGCAAGTCTCCTCACCCAAAGCAGCCTCGCAAACCTCGTAAGTACCTCAGTTCCAGAGGTCTCCTCTGTGAGCAGTAATTGTTATTTTGGGTCTTGTTTGGGAAGCAGCATTACTAAGAGAACCTCTTCTGGCAAAGGAAATTGTATAATGAGTCATTAGACCAATAATAAAAATGAAAAAATGGCCTGACTCTGAGGCTGTCTGAGACTGTTCCTATGAGAACTATGGAAACAGCTCCTTTCATTCATGTCTGTAAAAGGTGAGCTAAAGAGCCTATAAAAACTAATGTAGGTTCATAAAATAATAGGATAATCAAAATGATAAAAGAGACTTTAAGGCTATTTCATTGAGATCCTTTTTTTATTGCTTTAAAATTTTTTTAAAGTATGTTTTTATTGATTTTAGGGCAGTGGTTCTCAACCTGGCCTTTTAAATACCTCATGTTGTGACCCAACCATAAAATTATTTTTGTTGCTACATCATAACTGTAATGTTGCTACTGTTATGAATCGTAATGTAAATATCTGATATGCAGGATGGTCTTAGGCGACCCTGTGAAAGGGTCGTTCAACCGCTAAAGGGGTCGCGACCGACAGGTTGAGAACCACTGCTTTAGAGGGAGGAAGGGAGAGGGATAGAAAGATAGAAACGTTGATGAGAGACATGATTGGCCCCTTCCTGCATGCTCCCAGCAGGCATGTGCCCTGACTGGGAATTGAACCTGTGAACTCTTGGTTCATGAGTCAGTGCTCAACCACTGAGCCATACCGGCCAGGTGAGATTCTTTTTATCCACCCCCTCATTTCAAAGATGAAGAAGCTGACCTTGGGAAAGCTTAGTGCTCAGGGTCATGTGGCTAGCTAGTGGCAAAGCTGGGGCTAAAATTGGGGTTCCTGACACCCAGTTCAGTGTTCTTTCATTGCAGCCTGTTACCAGTCACATGCTTCTTTAGTCAATATGTGGTTATCAGTTGTGGATTACCTACCTGTGGAATGGTTACAAATTCAGAATTTTTCTAATAGAGGTTTAGTTTCATTGATAGTGGTGATGGGGTAGTGGTCCTAGTGGGAGCACAACAGGCCCAGCCCATTGTGGCAGTGCTGAATACCAGTCTTTGCAGGATATAAAGATCAGACAAGGGTGGTTATATGCTGGAGTGTTTGGACCACAGTAACATTCGGCTTTCTTCCACATAAAGCTCAGCCTCTAGGACCCTGCTGGTTTTGTCTCGCCAGCCCCGAAGTGGAGAAGCATTTGGTGGTCAACATTGGCACACATGTAAGTTACTTTCATGGATCTTTTACAGAGAAGGAGACATCTGTTTGTTTTGTATCACTTTATTGAGTCCATAAACATACTGTAAAATTCACCCACTGTAAGTGTACAATTCAACATTTTTTAGTAAGCTTACCAAGTTGTGCAACCATCACATAATACAGTTTTAGAACATGTCCATCACTCCAGTAAGATCCCACATGCCTATTTTCAGTACAGTTAATCCCCTTTTCCACCCTCATCCCCAAACACTAGCCTACTTTCTGTTTCCATGGGTGTACCTTTTCTGGACAGTTCATGCAAATGGAATCATAGAATATGTGATCTTTGTGTCTGGCTTCTTAGCGTAATATTCTTGAGGCTCATCCATGTTGTAGCATTGATCAGTATTTCTTTTCAAATAGTATCCTATTGTATGGATATATACTACATGTGGTCTATATACTTGTTAATAGATTGATATTTGGGCTGTTTGCACTCTATGGCTATTAGGAATAATGCTGCTGTGAACATGTGCAGGCATGTGTGGACATTTGTGTTCATTTCTTTTGGAGAGACACCCAGGAATGGAATTTATATTTAACCTTTTAAGAAACTGCCAAACTATTTTCCAAAATGACTATACCATCTTAGATTCCCACCAGCAATATATAAGGGTTCCTGTTTTCTCACATCCTTGCCAACATTTGTTACTGTCTGTCTTTTTTATTATAGCAGTTCTCTTGCGGTTTTATAGTGCCAATTGAACAAGATTGCTCCCACTTTCCTCCCTCTCTGATAAATAGGAATGGATCTCCTATATACTTTTCAAACTCTATTTTTATTCCATATTACTAAAAAGCGATAAATTCTCAGTGTTGTATAGTAGTAGAGGAGATAGCTTCCTAATGACAAGAATCCCCATATCCACATTCCTGGCATGGGTATCCCTAGTAATAATTATAAGGTTTCTTGGTGAGTACTGAATCAGACTATCATCTTAAAGATGATTTTACTTAGGCTGTGGAAAACGCTAATGAAGTATATGTGTCTCCTCCTATTTCACATTTCCCTACTTTTTCTTGGGCAAGGCTCAATTAGGTATTGAATAATACTAGTCTTTGACCCTCATTTCACTGGGAACCATATAGACCATTATCCCTTTCATCTGCTTTGAATGAAAAAAGCTTATTTTCAGGGTAATAGTTATACCCTTGTCACGCATGATTAGAATTGGCTGTTTCCTGAGGCTCCTGAAAGAAATATTTACAAACCATTTCTTAATGTGTGGTGCTTCTGCAGACAGATTCTTTCATCTGTTTTTCATTGATTTATTCTAATTTTGGTTTCTGAGTGTGATCTTTTCCTCAACTTATCCTGACAATCTGAGGGCCCTTTATTGTGGCCTCCTATAGACTGACGGACTAGAATCTCAATTTCATCTTACACTTTAAGTCATATCTCTTTTCTGCCTTTGTTGTTTCAGACTGAATAGTCCCAGTCTTTTACATTTAATTTTTATGTCTTTATTATTAGCATAAATAATGCTCCTTTCTCTAGGGGGAGCACTGATGGGGTCAAGGCCTGTGACACATTGGACCATGGAGCCTGTGGATGAACCTGTCAGTGAGAAGAAGAGCAAACTTGAAAAGCTCTCGCTTTTTACAAGAATGCCCTTCCTCTTTCGATTAGTTTATGTTATTCTTCTCTCCCTTATACATTGAGTGGTAAGGCAGGCTTGACACTGCCTTTCTATTTTGGAGGCTTCGATAGGCTCAAAATGCATACAGGGAAAAAGAGATTTGTAATGTTAACCCAGTGCTGCTCTAGGCCTCAGGAAGAAATGGCCTTCCCTTACCAGTCACCTTTCTACTGCCCAGGGCATGAACCTAGGCGATAATCAAGGAAACTTGTTTGTTTCTCATCTGGGCCTGAAGGTAGAAGGGGCAAAAAGCATCCTAGGTCTTGATTGTGGCCCTGCACCCCAAGTCTGAGGCCACATGAGGATTTTAGCACCTACCTAGTAATCTGTCTTACCTGTACTGTCCTTGGTCTGGTGGAAACCTCTTGGGAACCTCTGGTGACCTTTGGTGTCTGGCAAAGGGTTTGCAATAATCTCCTTTCATTACTTTCCCCCTCTGGCTTTCTCTGTCTTTGCCAGGCCTTCCTCAAGGAACATACATACACCTATGCCAGTGGCCGGCAAACTGTGGCTCGAGAGCCACATGCGGCTCTTTGGCCCCTTGAGTGTGGCTCTTCCACAAAATACTACGTGCGGGCGCGCATGTACAGTGCGATTGAAACTTAATGGCCCATGCGCAGAAGTCGGTATTTTGTGGAAGAGCCGCACTCAAGGGGCCAAAGAAGCCGTATGTGGCTCGCGAGCCGCAGTTTACCGACCACTGACCTATGCTAATGGCCCATGGCCACAATTGGTAAAAGGAGGGGAAGCTGCTAAAAGTCCTAAATAACTCCTTCAAAGTCCATACATTTTATTATGAGGGAAGCATTCATTTAGGTCCTATTTATACATTTGAGATACATTTAGAGATGATAATTCAGTATAGAACATTAGAAGGTGAGAGTTTGAAAAGGAGGAAGGAGATTGGGCAAATGTGAAACTATTCACAAGAACTGGAAGGTACTGCATTGGGGGTTGGTAGTGTAAACTAGAAAGCTTCCGTAGCCTCAATGCACATCACAGTATAAAATCTGCTATTTATGACAGTGACCCTTTGATATAAAGAAAAGTCTAGAAGATTCAGGCTTCTGGAGTAAGCTTTAAAAAGAAACAACCAAAAACAGTTATTGTAAAAATTAAGAAAATGCATTAGTGCTAATGAGATTTTGATGAACTTTAATCTGGAAAATTAACTGTAGATGTACTCAATTCTCTATTCCAAGTAGATCAAGGATGATCATACATACTTTAGTTTGTTTCCACTACCTATATTGTCATTCTACTGGACTTTCTCAGTGTAAATGAAAAATAAATACTCCTACCTTCAGCCTTAACTTTGAACCCACCACACTAAAAGTATACTTTGGATTGTTCTAAAGCTCTGGTGCCTTCATTTGCCTGCATTGGTATGCATCGGCTTTTCTCTATTCACAGTGTTGTTTTCCTTTCACAGAATGAGTGTAGAGAGGTCTTACATGTTTTGGTTTTGACAGAAATACTTTTAGTTGCTTTTTAGCTGCCAGCATCCATTGTTGGGACAATAGTTTTCTACTTTTTTGGATACACTTGACTTTGAAGTTTTTTATTCGTCCTCCAACCCATTAGGTCATATGTTTGCTTTCATTTTGTAGAGGTTAGTCAGCAGCTTAAGGCTGTAGGACGTTGGATGCTAATCATGTCACCTGAGCTCTTTTTGTGAGCCTGGGTGTGTGTTTGCGGTGGGATGGATGTTACTGTGGGGAGAGTGGTCATTTTGAAAGCAGAAGTGGGTGGGCTCTTCCTGTGGCTGAAGGTAATAGTAACTGAAAAATTGTTTTTTAAGTTTGGAGCCTAGAAAGGAAAACCAACTGTTTGTTCTGGTCCTTTATGGCTGGTGTGTTTGAAGACAAAAATCTGTTTGTGTGCTGCTCATTTGCTCCCAATTCATTTGATACTTGCATAGAAATTTGTTGCATCTAATCTCATTCTCCAGCAGGTACTTGGAAACATTGTTGTAATCTCTAAAATCAGATTTTTTAAAGTTGGAGAATTTCTGTTAATAGCCTTGTGAGCTCTTTTCCCACACACCCCCAGGCTCACTCTTTGTACTGTATAGGCTTTCTCCCTGAAGAACCATACATGCAGTATTGATTTCTCGCTTCTGTGTGCTTCATCTTCAGTGCTACCTTGCTCTGGCCAAAGGAGGCTTATCTGATGATCATGTCCTTATCTTGCCTATTGGACACTACCAGTCAGTGGTGGAGCTTTCAGCAGAGGTGGTGGAAGAGGTGGAGAAGTATAAGGTTACACTGAGGAAGTTTTTTAAGAGTCGAGGGAAACGATGTATTCTATTTGAGAGAAATTATAAGAGCCATCACCTCCAGCTACAGGTAGGTGGTCTCTGCCCAAGAACTTGGAACGACCAAATGGGGGCCTAGATATTGATAAATATTTAAATAATGTTAATTTTAATAATTACTGTGGTTAATATTTAAATATTTGATTCCAATGTAAAAGTAAATATTTTATATTTAAAATTTTAACATGAATTTTCAAATTGATATTTAGGTAATGTTCATTTAAAAGGTTAAAAGAGCCTCTGGTGATAACTCCAGAGAGTTCACAGAGAAGTGCATGGTCAGTATAAGTGAACTGCACAGACAGTAAGTACCTTGTTTAGAAAATGAATGGGTAGTTGAGGAAGGTTCCAAGAAAAATGTGGGCCTTGATAGGTAGAGTTTGGAAGAAATGAGGTATTTTATGTGAAGCCCAATGTGAGTGACTGTTCAGAGGTAGGAAGCGGTCTCAGAGCCTGTGGGGCTAGCAGCTCAGTCATTTGGAGATTGTTATGGATAATTTGTTTGTAGTTGTGGTGGTTTTCTTTCTGGCACATTTGTTAAGTTTTCAAATGGGCCTGACTCTGCCACATATATTCTATAGGAGCTGGGAAAGGCTTGATGACAAAGAGATTTCTCTCTAGCCTTTCCCGCATCAGAGATTGGCTCCCACATGGCAGGCTATCTCATAAGTTTAAGTCCTTACAGACAGGCTGACATGGACCTGTCTGGCCTGAGGAAAATCTCTGCTGAGGGGTGTTTCTCCACCCCTGTGATGGATTTGCTATTTCTCAGGAACTGCAGGAGGCATGACCTCTCTGGGACCCATATGAAGACTTTTTCCTATCCGCCCCCACCCCCACCCCCACCCCCACCCAGGTCATTCCTGTGCCACTCAGCCGCTGCGCTACTGATGACATTAAAGACGCCTTCATTACCCAGGCACAGGAGCAGCAGATAGAGCTGTTGGAAATCCCAGAGCACTCTGACATCAAGCAGGTAAAACAGGAGGGCAAGATGATGTTCAGGGAGAAGTAAAAACCTGGTTTCTGACACACTGAGCCTGAGGTACCATCAGGCATTCCAAAAATGTTAAAGACAGGTGACAGTTTGGAAAAAGAGCTTGGAGTATTGATTAGACTGGAGACAAAGATGGCATTACAGCAATGCCTCAGTGCTTTCCTGGGAAAAACAAGAAATGAGAAACTTCCTAAGGCAGGAACTTAGAAAGATGGGTGCCACTGGGAGGGTCTTGCAATATCTGCCAGTTTGGCTTTTTAAACTCGAGTTCCACTGAGTGGCTTGGGATCTATAGCTGCTTATATCCTTTGTGCTTCTAGACTGAATTCTATGCCAAATTAAAACTTTGAAGAGATGAGCCAGGTTTTCGATTTTTAAAGCACTATTGTATGTCCTCATGCAACTCTGTTTTCTTTAGATTGCACAGCCAGGAGCAGCATATTTTTATGTTGAACTTGACACAGGAGAGAAGCTTTTCCACAGAATTAAAAAGAATTTTCCTTTGCAGTTTGGAAGGTTTGTATAGTTTTCTTATTTTAAATGTATTTTTACTAGACCTACTCTGAACAAAGTAGTGGGCTGCATGAACAGTTAAATAAAAAGCCAAATAAGAAAGAATTCTTGCCCCAAGGAAGTAATAGACTTAGGGCAAGTCAGATATTTACATATATGACAGTAATGTGAAAAGTACCGTAATGAAGTTCTTAGGAACAATGTATTTCAGAAATTGAGAGACAGTGAGCTCATGTCTAATCGGTAAAAGGCTTCATGAAAGGGTTGAGGCTGAGACTGAGAGAGAGTTAGAGGATAAACTTTGGAATGTCAAAATTCTAGCCTGAGGGAATAAATCCCTCCATTAATTGAAAATATGCTCTGTAAAAGGCATTGTGCCTAGAACTTTACATGCATTGTCTCATTTAATCTTCCCAATTCTGTAAGGTAGGTAGTGGCGTCTCAGTTTACTATTGAAAATGAGGCTTTAGAGCAGTACCCAATAGACTTTCTACATAATGGAAATACCCTATAAAACTGCACTGTCCTATGCAGTAATCACTAGCCACAAGTGGCCACTGAGCACTTGAAATGTGGCTAATGTGACTAAGGAACTGAATTTTTAATTTAAATTAATTGGGATTAAAATTTAAATGTCTGTGTTTGAGTACTGGCTCCTATAGTGGACAGCATGGCTCTAGAGTGGTTAGTAACTTGTCCATGGTCACTGGTAGGTTAAAATCCAGGCCTGTTGGACCACAAAATATGAGGTAATAACCTCATTATTCTGTACTGTCCTGCAGGTTGGGATGGGACTTCATTTCTTCTCATATCAGGCAGAACGTGACTGCAAAATCATACAGGGAGTGGAATGAATTAGACAAAGACTAAAGACAGGAATTTGCTGACCAGAAGATATAGAGTATTGAGGGGAATCGAAAATGTGAAGTACAGATTATCTGATGCTGGTATCTGTGATTTGCAGCTGTTTTCCTTCCCTAGTTAAAACTGAGCTTTGAGTCAACCTTGAGCCCTCTTGGTCTAATTTGCAAAGCTTCCAAGAGATTGCCACCATTGGATAAGTCCAGTAAATGTAATTGACTACATTTTCAAAAAGATAATTGACAAATGAACAAGTATGTTAAAAGCTTCAAACATTTGACATTATCTTTTTGCTGTTGCCTCAGCAACAGATGCATATGTGGACAGTGGTGACATAGGCATATGATGGCAGATATAGGCACATAAGCCTACAAAAGAGATTTTCTAATTTTATGCTCATGGTAGTTGTATTGAGTATTTTTAAAAATGCTAACTTACAGTTATATAGCATTTTATAGTTATTCCCCCTATCTATATATATATAAAAGGCTAATATGCTAAGTGTCCATCCAGGTAATGACATCACGTAGCAACACCCCACTTCCTCTCCCTAGCGACTAGCCTCCTTGCAGTTTCTTCAGCTCGGGAACACTACTTGCTTTATAGCCAGGTGGAAACATTTTACACTTTAACCAAATGTCTGTGAAGCATTTTCCCATATCTCATATCATTTGATCCTCACAGAAGTCCTGGAGTAAGCAGATAGGAGACTTGGTGGAATCCTATTTTCTTTTCATTAGCTGGAAAATGGAGATTTAGAAAGCTTAGAAACTTGACCCAACTGAAAAGAAGAAATGATGGACCTTGAAATGACTTCAGGTTTTCTCACTGAGCAGAATATAGTCAAACACTGCTGCAGTTAAATATTTTACCCTTTGTCCTCCCTGCGTGATCTACAATAATAATCTGGTTCGTGTTGATATTTACTGCTGTGTTGCTGACAATTCCTGAAAGAGAAGTTGGGGTGCTTCACTGGGCTGGAAAAAGTTCAGTGATTCTCCACCTGTGGGTCGCCACCCCTTTGGCGGTCGAACGACCCTTTCACAGGGGTCGCCTAAGACCATCCTGCATATCAGATATTTACATTACGATTCATAACAGTAGCAACATTACAGTTATGAAGTAGCAATGAAAATAATTTTATGGTTGGGTCACAACATGAGGAACTGTATTTAAAGGGCCAGAAGGTTGAGAACCACTGGAACTTTAGCTAAATCAGAAAGCAGGTCTAATTAAGTTTATTCTATATATAAGGCTAAGTTGACTTGCACATGCGCGATACATATAAAGCTCTTGCTGGCGCCAATTGCACAGGTGTGTTTCCATCTGTCATTGTGGATCGTGAATTTGGTTGACACTTCTATTATAGAGAAAGGGCGAATAGCAATATTAAAATATTTCTTCTAATTAATTTCCTTTCAGTGTGCACAAATTTGTGCACCGGGCCACTAGTTATACAATAAAGCTGGTTCTATATTCATTTTACAGATGAAGAGAAGTAGGTTTAAGGTTTGCGTAGGCAGGTAGAAATTATGCTCAGGTCCTTTGACTTTTATAAGATTCATGTGATTTGTTTTCAGCTCTTCTATTTACTGTAGCTTTAAAGTGAAAAATAAACCATATAAATGCACAAATAAAGTTATTCTAATATAGCAAAATGAATAATATATATAAAGCAGTGGCAATTAAAAGCTAGCTTGTATATGTATCTGTAAGTAGTTATTTTTTAATTCTAAGAACCAACATAAGTTGTTTTGGGTTTTTTGTTTGTTTGCTCTATGGAGCCTGTGCTATTGTGCCTATGTAGGCTTGAGTCCTCTAAAAGGAGGCATAAAGTCAGAGTGGGTTATGGTACTAGGTGCTTGACTCTGCACCATGCCCTTAGCAAACTCATGGTCTAATTCAGATGACAAAACTAGAGTTTAAGACAGGGTGTAATAATCACAGCTAGTTTGGTGCTTTGATTGTGTTATCTCTGTACCTCACAAAACCCCTATTTTGCATTTCATAGGTGAAAACATCAAGATTCAGGGATGAAATCATTTGTTCAAGTCATAGACAGCAAGTGGCAGAACTAGGAATGGAATTGTCTCTGATATTTATGGCACCAGGGTCTGCCCTCATTCTCCTGTGCCATGTTGTTTTTCTAAGTACCAATAAATGTAGTACCAAGTTGTTCAGAGAAATAAATGGGATTTGAGGGTTTAAGAATGAGGTAGGACCTGAGCTGGTCACTTAAAATGGGTATGATTTTGATAGAATGGCAGAGATGGCACTCAGGACAAGAGAAAATGGTACGAGTAAAGTCAGAGGAATTTGCATGCCTTCTTTGGGTGATGCTGAGGAAAGCTCTCCAGCAGGAGAGGAAGGTGGGGGCGTTAAATTGATTCTATTATGACTTCTTTGTGCTCTTTCTGCAGGGAGGTCCTGGCAAGTGAAGCCATCCTTAATATTCCTGACAAGTCTGACTGGAGGCAGTGTCAGATCAGCAAGGAAGAGGAGGAGACCCTGGCTCGCCGCTTCCGCAAAGACTTTGAGCCCTTTGACTTCACTCTGGATGACTAAGCAAAGGGACAGGCACTTTATGAACTTCACAGGAAGTAGTAGCAGCCTGTGTTTTAAAGAAACTAGTCTCCCATGGGGACTGTTTCCCTGCCTCTTTTTGGTGCATTCCCATGGAACTTGTCTGCAGCAAGAGGCCTAAGATGGAATATTTTTCAGAAAAAGTCATTTGATGATGAAAATTTTATGTTAAAAAGCATGTTTGTCATCCAGCTCCAAGTACAGCTTTTGTTTATCAATATTTTCAAAAACACTGAAATTATCAAATAAAATCCAGATACTTTTCTATGCTTGGGAGGTGCCTTATCTTTATGTTATCGGTGTGTGTCTAATAGGAGGAATCAGGGCTTTAGGCCCAGCTGCTATCCCAGGATCTCACAGGTGGCTTCTCCTTGAGCATTTTAGGATGGAGAAGGGACCCAAAAGGGCCTTTGCCATTTTTCTTATAGCATTCATGTTACTGATATAAAAAAGCTTATTCAGTCTTTCAGCAAATACTTAACTCCTATGTGCCAGGCATTTTTCTAAGCTCTAGGAGTATAGCCATGTCCTAACATGGTCTCTGTTGTCCCAGAATTTATAGTCTAATTAGGAAGATAAGGAACAGATTTAAGAAGAGTTCTGCTTTACATATGTTGAGTTTTGGTGTGCTGTTGGATAGTTATAAACTCATGGAGATCTAGATTGCTCATAGGGTTTTGGGGCTCATCAGGGTATTGGCCACAAGTGAAATTATGAGAATGGATGAAAATAAGATAGAGTGAATACAGTCCTAAGCTGACGATGACTACCTTGGAAGTAGTGACCCAACAAGTATATGGAGAAGGAGCAGAGACAAACTTTACAGGAGAATGCCCTATCTTGAAAGCTAAAAGAAAAGGAATTGCTCCTATATATTGGGTGCTTGTTGCCTAGACACTATTTCATTTAATCCTCAAAATATCTGTGAGGTAGGTACTATTACCTCCATTTTATGCATGAAAAAACAGATGGGCAAACTTGAATTTATGGAGCCCATCAATCAGCCCAGGAGTTAAAAAAAAAAAACAAACCTATGCAATATCCATGTGAATGGGGATGTGCAAAGAGTGAGCTATAGGAAACCAGGTACCCGCAAAGATCAGGGTCAGTCCAATCATCAGAGTCCTCAGGTCCTCAGCATGTCTCCCTGGCTCTTCCAAGTGATAATTAGATTTCAGCCACACCTGTGGAGATCGGACACTCCAGTGCTAGATATGCTGTGCACCTAGCAAACAAAGGCCTCATACTATTAGTACAATCTACATCACGGTCATCAGTGCAGAGTGCCCAGCTCTAAGGTATGTATTAGAGGTGCCATTTGCAATCACCTCCAAGTCTGATACTCCAGCTCCATGGCTACCAAGCACATGGGAAACCAGAATTTGCAATACCATACACTTTACTGATGAACTATAACACGACTTGCTTTGTATCATGCAATGCTCAACAATCTGATTGCACTATTGAAGGATTTTGGTGACGAGACACATTTGCTCTACCAGACGCAGATTCAGTGCTTTCAAAACACTGTGGTGCCAACAATGTACCCACCTTTAAACATCTTACATGTTACATCTGTGGGGGCACAACCGCGTGTCACAAAGTGTTAGTAGGAATTCCAAGTACTGAGTTCATAGGTCGAGCTGTGCAAATGACGGTCCAAGTGTACATGATCTCAAAGGAGACTCAACGCAACTGATATATTTCTTCAGAGAATTTGATTCCATGCTGATTCTCATACCTGAAGTGATGAAGGAGATGCCCCAATTATGGGAGTGTATGACCCACTCAAAGCAAAAATGAGGAGCTGGTTCCCTTATGCTAAAGCAATCCGCCACTGGAAGCACTTCCTCTTGCACCAACAGTATTCCCGAAGCTTGCTTCTGCACCCTGGATGACGCATGACACAATCCCCACCGTGAGAAACTAGGGCACTGGCAAACCCATACCCTGACAGCAAGCTCTGTGAGGCGTTTGGGGAAAAGCTCCCGAAGTCAGAAGCAACATTCTTTACTCTGGAACCGCATCACATCCTTAAGTCGTTGGGGTTTACAGGGGATATCCTGGGACAGTGCATAGAAGTCCAGCAGAAGAGCTGAGCCTGACTAGTCTATGGAAGATGATTAATCATTTAATTTTAAAAAAGGTGAACTATGAAGGCTAATGCATCAGTGGGCCTGTTGGCGCAGGATTCTTTCTAGTTCTTCAGATTCCGCAATATTTAAATCACTGACGGCCTTGGCCAGTGCCAGCTCAGCGGGTGACTGGTTGCCGAATAGACGGCAGAGCTGTGAAGGTGATGGGCAGACGGGTGGAGACGATGGGAGGTTAGCAGACCAAGACGGACAGACTGGCCTGGAGAGATCTTACACTTTTGGAGATTGGGAAAAAAAATGTGGTTTCTCTCCGCTAGGCAAATGTCCGGGGTACTCACCGGCTGCGAAGCGCCCTCCTTGCCTCCCCACCTTCACTCTCGCTAGGTAGCGGCGGCTCCCGGGGAAAACGTGGGCGGGGCTTTCCCTGTGGCAGTTACCGGAAGTGACGCGTCGATATCGCGAGAAGAGAGACGCGCGAGCCTCCGCGGCCCGGAACCGGCCTTGGAACAGCGGTGGAACCCGAGGCCGCTCGCCCTCCCGCCCCATGGAGCGGCCCCCGGGGCTGCGGCCGGGCGCGGGCGGGCCCTGGGAGATGCGGGAGCGGCTGGGCACCGGCGGTTTCGGAAACGTCTGCCTCTACCAGCACCGGGTGAGGCGGGGCGCGCGAGGGAGCGGCGGCGGCGGGGGTTTGTCTGAGCGTCTGTGGAACCCCGCGGCTGTCAGTTTGTGAAAGATTGTCGGTGAGACCTTGGGCAGTACTGTGGGCCAGGGAGCGCGCGTGTGCTTGTGTGTGTTTGTGTGTGTGCGTGTGTGTTTGTGTGTGATCCAGACACACCGCGCAAAAATAAGTCAGTCGGAAAGGATGTGAGGGAAAGAAAAATTGAATTCCTTACTCCAACGTAATCAATGTAAATATATTGTCAATTAAAAAAAATTAATCCGAATGGGGTAAGATGAGTGTATAAATTAGCCCCATCTCCGCCATTCTTCTGCTTCCTCGTATTCATTAATCAGCTTATCAGAAATCGAGAGGGGAGGAAGGGGGAGGAAGACGAGTACTCTTATGTTCGTTCGATGG